ATTACATTAATGTATTTGAAGCTTTAATTAACTCTTACCCTCCAATTTTGTGAATTTTTCTGATTCATATCATTTTTGTTTTGACCTTCTCATTCAGCTCTTTTTCTTCCTTTATCTCCCCTTTTTACTTCGTTGATAACTTGTCTTTTTGAGTAAGTTATCTTGATGTTTAACTTTAGAGTTAACATTAAACCTTCCATTTTTGGTGATTTGGTCAGACAGATTTGAAATATGACATAAAACATTCCCCAAAAAGAGATGAGCTCATTAGTGTCATTCAAGTACATGCTAGACATATAGTCAGGCAACAGTTTCTTTTGGCTTAATGAGAAAAACAACCTGGCACTTGGTTTTAAGTAAAGTAAAATTTGCAGGATAACATCTCCATAAATGCTGTACTAGTTGGCTGCGGAAAATATAACGTGTGTTAAAACATTTCTGTTTTTAGATCCAGGTTAGCAAAATGTTTTTGCAGTTAGACATAAATGGGCTCCATTTTTCTATAATTAATTTGCTTGCACATTATAAAATTATTGAAACTAATAGTCATTTCTAGTGAAATCATAAATTTAATAGAAAGTGTGACCACAATGGTGCAAAATTCTTATTGCCTGGGAAAGAGGAAAGGAAGAACTAATATTTTGAGCACATACTATGAACAAACACTGAGATAAATAATTTCTAACACATCAATAATATTATTTTATTTACTACAACATTGGAATTAGCAAGCAGTTCATAGTTCACATAAAGAAATGTCAAGTAACTTGCCTAAACCCCAGAAGTGGGAATTAGCCAAGGGAAATCTTAAGCTTTAGTCTCCTCAGTTCTGAAGTTGGGGAATTTTCTTATAAAACCAGATACTTCCTATTTACTTTATATATGATGCACTCTTTTATTATATTGTGCATGATTGTTCATGCAATTACTTATCATGGATTATATCAGAAATTCAGGTGAGTTTCATGTAAGAAAAAATTATAAATTTTTTTAAAGAGAAGAGAGAATTTTTTAATATTTAATTTTCAGTTTTCGGTGGACACAACATCTTTATTTTTTATTTTATGTGGTGCTGAGGATTGAACCTGGCGCCCCATGCATGCCAGGCAAGCACGTTACCACTTGAGCCACATCCCCAGCCCATGAATTTTTTAATGCAGGTATGATAGTATTCTTCAAAGTTGTTTCTATAGTGCTCAGAAATTAAGGGCAATTTTACAATGGTACCGAAAAAACTGTAAAAATGATACTAAATTGCAGAGAAACAATTATCAATTTGCATGTTGTAGTATTGTACAGAGAACCTGAAATTAGTTTTTAAGCTGAAGGAAACTATTTCTCTTAATATAGAAAATAACATAGCTCAGGTCTAAGTAGCATTTGCTAAATCATGAGCTTAGGCAAGATGATTTAAGAAAAGTGTAGAATTCTGCAATGGCTGAGAACAGATCACTTACAAAAAAAGATTCTTCTAGCTAAAGCTGAGTTCTTCTAAGTGCTGGGTCAGCCAGGTCTTGGACAGACTTTTCTGCTCTTGAGTTAATTGATATGAGGTAATTGATTTCCTAGCCAGAAGCCAAGATTATTTCCAAGATAGAATAAAGGCTTATGGTCTCTTTCAAACTAATTTAAATCAGGGTTATAACTTTCCAGTGCACTAAAGATTGCAAGCTTTGTGTTTTTAAGCTAGGTCTGTAACTATCCATATATATATATAACTAAAATACTCACATCTTTCCTGTATTTCAGTATCATCATCTCTAAAACACTACATTTCTTTAAGCAACATCTTTCTGATCTTTAAAATTATTGAATGTAAAATTGCTGAGGAAGCCATTTGGGATAATTGCATAAAAATGAAAAATAGGGAGGAGAAGAGGAGAGAGGGGGAGGAGAGAAGGGGAGAATGTAACAGGTATGTGTCAAGAGAGATTTAAATATGAAACTAGGGATTTTTCTATCAAAACAAGGATTTCCATATTGCACAAAAAATATTATCTTTCTATGAATTTAGAATATTTTGCTGTTTTTAGCAGCCATCATCAGAATACAAATTAATTGGATTACATGGCTTAAAATTCATTAAAAATATTGGGAGCAGGTGGCAGGGAATGTGGAATTCTGTTATAGGAGTAGTACCTGGTATTAATCAAAACCCTGATTTTTTTTCAACTCAACTTCACAGACAAGTCCTGAATAATTCTCTTTATTCTCTAGGTTAGATTGAACCCTGACCCAGAGAGTTGCCCTAATCCAATTGGGATAAGATATAAATGCAACCTGGGCTTTGAAGGGCACTCTGTAAGCACAAAGGCATGTTGTGTTTGAAGCATCAGGACCAGAAATTACTTGAATCTGATTTTCAGGTGTACAAGAGGCCAATGTAATATGAGGATTACAAGAAATGGAAAATGTGAGATGTGCTGCAGAATCTTGGATGGACTTGAGCATGTGATGGATGTATGGAGAAGAGCAGCCAAGGAGCTGTTAAGTGAGGACTGGAGCCACAGCCCAAATCTTGGCAGTCAAGGGAAAACATCAGCAGATTTGGAAAAGATTAAACAAATCACAATAAAAAGGTAACTATGGGATGAGATTTCACTGATAACCAGTGATAAGCTGGATTACACAGGTTCTGAAGATCTAAAGAATATAAAGGAAAATATCAGAAAATCTGTTATTTAAATATAATATAAATAATAAATTTGTCTTTTAAAATTATAATTTTCTATTTAGAAGAGACTTCACCATTTCCCTACTAAGAATCATTTTTCTTGGTTCATGCTTGTCTACTAAAATAAAATGAACTCTTTCATAAGCAACTATAAGCCTTCTAGGTATACTCTGTTTAACTACTACTCCACTCACTCTCTCTCTCTCTCTCTTTTTTTTTTAGAGAGAAAGAGAGAGATTGATTTTTAATATTTATTTTTTTTTTTAGTTTTTGGCAGACACAACATCTTTGTATGTGGTGCTGAGGATCGAACCCGGGCCGCATGCATGCCAGGCGAGCGCGCTACCGCTTTAGCCACATCCCCAGCCCCTCCACCCACTCTTCATCATCTTCCACAATATTTTCTGTAAAAAACCTGCCTTTGTCAATCACCTCCCTGCCCTCCCTTGCTTACAGAATTTCCTTTATTTTAATCTTGCTTTATTTTTGTCTAAATACTACTCCCTACTTGAGATTTCTTACATAAACTCTTCCTTGATTCTTCCAAAAGAAATCACCTTACCTCTTTTGTTCAGCTGCAAGACTATAGTTTCTGATTGTAGCAGCTTAGGAGTAATCTCCATACATTTCCTACTGACAGAATTGTACAGCTGTCAGTTTCTCCAAATGGCCTATATTTTGCTTAAAACATAAATTGACTTGTTTATCTCTGCGTCCTCAAATGCTTAACAAGCATGTCTCTCTAATTCTGCTTCAGTTGATGTGGAAGGCTTTTGGTTTAGGAGATGACAATTTAAATTAAAAGAACAAGAGCCTATGGTTACTATTGTGGCTTTGATTTGTCATGCTGTAATCTCAGCATGTGGTAAAGTAGTAAGCATGCATGGTGATATCAATGTTTCCAAAACCTTAGAAGACAGAATGAGGCATATGTGTAATTTGAAAAAATTATCTCAGCCTTTTTCTTGATATTTTCTTTAATAAAAATGGTCATTCTAAACATCAAAAGAGCTGAAAATACAGGTTGACAGTGTTATACCTGTGTCCATTTCTACCTTGACCATGAATTTTGAAAAGATATTAATCTTTTCAAGATTCAATTTCCTGAGCTATTGATTAAAGGTGTTACAGCTCAGTTTTACACTCCCATGATTCTATTGCATTCAAACTAATATAAATAGTAATTTAAAATTTATATTCATCTTCTTGGTTTGTATGTTGTATATGTATTCACGTTTAACAGACATCCCTGTTCAAAGGGGCTTGGTGAGGAAGAGTCATGGCCTAGACACTGGAGGCTGACAGTCAGCACCACTTAATAATCAAAGAACAAAGATCATCCCTCAGCCCTCAAAGCACTGACTAAAATGATGTTTGAGGTACCCAAGGTGGGTGAGGGAAAATGCTTCTGGCTGGCATTTAGAGAAGCCTAGTTGTTCCATATCTTAGCTCAGGCTGCAGTAACAAATACCATCAAATGCGTGGCCTAAATGACAGATATTTACTTATCACAGTTCTAGAGGCCAGGAGTCCAAGATCAAGGTTCAAGTGAGTTAGGTTCCTGGTAGAGCCTCTCCTCTTGACATGGCTTCCCTCTTGTTGTATCCTCACAGGGAGAGGGCACATTCAAGACCTCATCTAAACCTAGTTTATTAATCAGCTTTGTGTGCTATGACTAAAATACAGAAAAAAACAACTTAAAGGAAGAAAAGTTTATTTTGGCTCATGATTTCAGAGGTCATGGTCAGCGAGTTCCACTGCTCTGGGCCTAAGGCAAGGAAGAACATCATGGCAGAAGGGCATGCAACAAACAAACAAAACAAATACTCTCTGCTCATGGCAGCCAGGAAGGAGGCAAATACACAGTGACCTCTTTCTTCCAGCTATACCCCGCCTGCCTGGTTATCACCCAATAGTCCATTTACATCAATAATCCATCAAATGGATTATTTCACTGATGAGGTTACAGCCTTCCCAACCCTATCATTTCCTAAAAACCTCACTTCTAGACCTTGCTTCATTGAAGACGGTGCTTTTGATACATGAACTTTTGGGGGGAACTTTCCATATCCAAATCATAAAACCCAATGACTTCCCAGAGGCCCCATTCCCAAGTTATACTGAGTTACCATTACATTGAGGGTAAGGGCTTCAACATATGAATCTGGGAAAAAGCACAAACATTCCATCATAATATTCCATGATTACTTCCTTCAGATGAATGTAATAATCCTAGACTATAATTAAGACAAATAAAAGCCAAGCCACTGAAGATGTTTCCTGGGAAGTGTAGAGCTGCTATGTCTGTCACACAGACACAGTGAAGATGGCTAAAGAAGGTACATTCTTTACTGGGCCAGTCCCTAACTATACTGGAGTTGGTTGCTTGAGGACAGGAACCAGTGAATCAACAGACCAGGTAGGAACATGAAGGCAAACTGTGATCCTAAAATTCCCTATTCACCTTCTCCACTTGAACCAGAAAGGAACAAGAAGAAAGTGGCTCATGCCTTAAACAGGTGTGCAGCATCAGCAAAAAAAACAAAAACAAACAAAAACCCCTTATTTTATTAATTTTTTAATCTACTCATTGGACTTTTCCCCTGGCTTCATTAATTTTTTGTTAGTGTTTAGAGAAAATTAATGATAAAACACCATAAAGATGATTTTAAAGATGCTTCCAGCTTTAATTTTCTTCATTTTCAAAATACAAATATAACAATAGGAGTGAAAATAGAACAGGTAGGCTTCTGTTAACATAATTAAATTTACTACAGCTCTGAAATTTGTCTTTAGGAAAGGGAAGATTAATGAAAGGTGAAGTTAAAGTCAGGCTGTGTACAAAAGAGGAATCCTTTATAAATTTCATTCTTATAGCTTATAGTACTTTATTTTTATATTCAGCAATATATTTGTATTTAGAATATGAATTTTAAAAGGCTATTTTTTCAAAAAAGAAAATCTCTGATTTATGTCTTTGGAACATGAAAGACAACTCTGGAGGAGAAAAGCCTGAATGATATACCTTGCTTATGGTGTGGGTGCTCCTAAAACTTAAGAAAAATAATCAGACTTCTAGGAGATTAAAGACTTAAGAAATACCCACTTCCCCCCATAACAATATAATGTCATTGTTTTTATTCTTGGTCCCAGGTTTAACTTGATTTATGATTTACCATTTGTTAAAGACTTTGGATGTCCTGCCTGGACTCCCAGAAGTTGTTTCCATTTTTCTATAGTCAGCATGTAAAGTGTTATTTAAAGCCTATATTTTGCTGTTAAATATTACCCAGTGGTTTCTGTTCTACTAAGGTCAAATTTCAACCCAACTCCTTAGACTTCCAGACCTGGAAACCTTTTAGCAAGCTCTATTTCTGTTTCCTCCTCCTGAAAAAGTTGTCTCTGCAGACAGAGGTTTGGCATCTGTCTACCTTCCTCACATATTATATATTACTTATGGAACCTCTGGAAACCTGAAGTGCCTGGTAGATGGAAAGCAAGGGATGGATGAGAATCCCTGCATGTCTGCACTGGATATTTAATGTTTCTCTGTTCATGAAGTGAAAATGTAGAAATGGAGGCTTGAAATCAGATATTTTAAAAGGGGTTAATATAATGCATTTTAAATGTTCAGTGAATTCATTGCTGAACTTCAGAATCAACTTTGAAACTTGTTCTATGGTGCATTTCAATGTATGTTTTGGAATGATCAGATTTATTTTCTGGTGATCCTAATTCTTTTTTCTAGGTATGATATGATCCTTTATTTTCAGTCACATTAGGTCAAAATTCAGTTTATTATTGCTTATGTTGGCCATGTCCACTTCAGTGTGTGATTATATCATGTTCTGTGTACTGCATTGCTGACATGGTTTGGTAACCTGAGGGTAGGCACTGGAAAAACCAATCATGTCTGTAATTGAAAGAAATATTAAAAAATATTTCAAAGGTTATATGCAGTTTAAAAAAGTACAATACTATTTTAATGCTTCCTATTTTCAATAAGCTTTGCTATATTTACATTTTATTTATCTTCGGAATACTCTACATGAAAAAATAACTTAATGTTGCTATGAGTCTTATTTTAGGGGAAAGGAAAAATTTACAGATAAGTAATTCTGTTTTTCTGTTTCCTTTTTCTCCAGGCCACTACCTACTCAAGTATAGGTAATACTGAAATCTCCACCTCTTTTTCTGATTTATTATGATTATTTACACTGTTACAGTAGAAACATGGTTAGTAAAACGACTAAATAAAAAACATTTCTGGCTTAATTTTCACATGTATAAAAATAATACCAGTGGATTGTGTGAATATGTGTACCATTTTGTAATAATCTTAAACTGTAATTTATACCCAATTTTAGTACTGTTTTCTTATTTTTCTCTTGTTTCAATTGTGCCAATTCAAGCTTGTGTGAATTACTGTAAACCTTATTTGGGGTCACTCAGATTTGCTGTTTTCAAATTTATGTATTCCAACTATTTTGTTTTAGATTTGTTTATTCAGTTATCTTTATTATATCTTCTTCCTTTCCTCATATTTGTTCTATAGCTCCCTGCATTTTTCTTAATAACAACAACAACAATATGGGTATGGGTTTGATTCTGAGAAAAACTTTGACCCTATATCCCTTTTATATATAAAGCTTTTAAGTTTTTTTTTTCTAAATAACCTAAAACTGCAGCATTACTTCTTATTTCTTCCAAAACTCCTTTGGATAAATTTATTTTTATTTTTGAAAATTTATTTTGTTAGTACTTCATAGTTCATTGTACTTTTTAAAAAATTGTTCTCTATACAGTCATTCCATTTTTACTGATATTTCTTGTATTTCTGAATTTTTTCCCCAATTTTAATACTATGTTGTAAGCAAATTAATAGATTTTATGTGTAACACTATTTTGAAAACTTCATCCTTCTTTTTCTTTTTTTTTATTAGCTACACATGACATTACAATGATCTTGGCAATTCATACATTTGAATCAATTGGGGTATAATTTCTCATTTTTCTGATCATCCTTATTTTTCTAAATTATTATTATTAGCTATTCTTCTTGAGGTTATTTTGTTCATTGTATATTTTTTTCCTGGTTAGCCTCATTTTCAAACAACTTACTTTACATGTGGCTATTTTTTTATTAATTTTATTTTTTAAATATATGACAGGGGAATGTATTATTCTTATTACACATATAGAGCACAATATTTTCATATCTCTCTTTGTATATTAAGTATGTTCACACCATTTCATGTCTTCATACATGTACCTTGGATAATGATATCTATCACATTCCACTATCATTTCTAAACCCCTGCCTCTCTCTTCCCCTCCCACCCCTCTGCTCTATCTAGAGTTCCTCTATTCCTCAAAAAAAAAACCCAAATGCCTAATGTTTTCTCTGATATAAGGTGACTGACCCATAATGGGAGAGGGAGGGGGAGCATAGAAGGAATAAATGTGGCTATTTTAAAAACCTTATTTTTAGATTTTGTTTTGTTTTTGATTTTGTTTTGTTCTGGTGGATTCAAGGAAAGAGTCTTTGTCTTTTGGTAGAAAAATTAAAACGTTTGTTCATGATGTGCTAACAGATTTATTGGTTTTATTTTATTTTTTAAATTACAAATAATAATTGCATATATTTATGAGGTGCAATGTGATGTTTCACTACTTGCAGATCTTTGAGGAATATTTTCAGCATGTGTCCATTGATAGAATATTTCCTTAATTCTTACATATCTGATGTTTCTCTTTTGCTTTAGAAATGAAAAATGGAATTTCTTAGTAAAAAGAAAAAAAGATTATTCATTAATAAAATTTTCCACTGAAAACTCTAGTCTTTGGTATATCAATTTCAATTTTTATGAAATAAAGAAAAAACATGAAGCAGGCTTTATTTCTTAAAAAATTTAATTATTTTTACTGGCTCATAAAAAATATAAAAATTATACATATTAGTGGGGTACTATTTAATATGTTGATAAAGATATGCATTATATAATGTTTAGATCAGATTTAAAAATATCTGTCACCTTAAACATTATTTTTTTTATGGGGAAAACATTCAAAATCTCTTCCAGCTTTTTGAAATATATGGAATATTACTATTATCTATAGTCACCATATAATGTAGTCGTACACCAGAACTTCTTGACTCTAACTGAAACTTCATATCCATTGATTAACCCTTCCCTGCACCTTTCTCTACCCTATTCTTCCTGGCCTATGCTAAATACCACTCTCCTCTCAACTTCAAGGAGATCAATGTTTTTAGATTCTAAATACGAGTGAGACAATGTGGTGCTTCTCTTTCTGTGCCAGGGTTATTTCAATTAACATAATGATCTCCAGTTTCATCCATGTTGTCACAAATGTCAGGATTTTATTCTTTTACATAGCAAAATGGTGCTCTACACACAATACATACTGTATGTATTTACATATAGTATATACTGTATTTTCTTTATCATTATTATTGTTATAAGTACATATTAATTGTACAAATCAATGGGTTTCATTGTGATATTTCTATACATGTATATAGCATGCCTTGATTATATTCACACTTCATTCTACCTTCTATTTTCTTCCCCTCTCCCTCAAGATCCCTTGCCAATCCTAATAGTCTCTTACTTTGGGGTCACCCTTTTTCTATTTTTTAATGACCACATTCCACAACAAAATGAAGAGACAATCTATAAAATGGAAGAAAATATTTGCAAAATATATGCAGCTAAGAAGCTAGTACCCAGATTTTATAGGAAACTGAAGATAGTTATCTTTCTATGTTTGGATGATTGTGATTAACAGGCTGTCCTCCAGTTGCATCCATTTTCCTGCAGATGACATGATTTCATTCTTCTTTATAGTTGAATAATATTCTAGTGTGCTTGTGTACATGTGTGTGTGTTTTTTATCCATTTATCCATTGACATACCTAGGCTGATTTCCCATCTTTGCTATTGTGAGTAATGCTACAATAAACATGGAGATGAAAGTATCACTTTTGTATTCTGACTTTGATTTCTTCAGCCATATACCTGGGAGTAGCATGGCTGAACCATATGGTTACTCTATTTTTTGATTTTTTGAGGAATATCCTTACTGTTTTCCATAATGCATGTACTAATTTTCATTTCCAAAAATAGTGTTAAAGGTATCCTTTTCACTATACATTTACTGCACTTCTATCTTATTCTTTTTGATATATTTTTTTATCTTTTAGATACCAGCTACTTTAAGTGGAATGAAGTTACCTCTTATTGTAGATTTGATCTTCATTTCCCTAATAATTAGTGATGTTTTTCATATATCTCTTGGCCATTTATAGAGATGTCTTTTAGATATGTCTTTTGAGAGATGTCTGTTAGATATGTTGCTCATTTTTAAATCAGGATTTTTTTCCTACTGATTTTT